GAAAGGCGTGAAAAACTAAAAATCACATTTAAATTCAAATAGTATAATAATATGAAACAATGTCTCATTGTTTGCCGTCGAGTTTTAAAAATAAACAAATACCAATGACCTACTATTAGGTATACTATCTGCAGCGAAATCCGAACATCTGTAGGTCCGGTTTTTCATACTCATCCGTGTAGGAGTGGGGCGGACGGTTGGAGGAGTTTGGGCGTACGTCGAAACTCGAGCCGATATTATAGTTTTTAGCGAGGAATTACGAATACATTAGACATAGCTGATAAAAAAAGCCGGGCAAATGTGCACGTGGGTGGGCCACTGTTGTAGGTGAAAAGTTGGGAAGATAGTAGAGGGGAAGTTTAATGTATAATATATGTAAGCAACGATGAATCATTGCTAACGAAAATACGATTCTGAGTGGAGTTCAGTTGAAGCTTCAGTGTTGCTTTGTCAACAATTTATAATAGGTCATATTATGGTAAATAATTACATAGGCATTTTAAATTTTCTTTAATAATATTTGTTTAATATTATACCTATTTTTTCCCATATTTTCCCCCGAATTTCCCATTTATCGTGAAAACTCCTGAAAAAATCAAAAAGTTACTTCCTTAAGTACTTCCCCAGTCTAATTTCTATTCAGAAAAAGTTCTACACGGAGCAAGATTTTTTGTAGAAAAGTTGTTCACAGATGAAAAAATAAATATCATTGTAAGACCAATACATTCTTCGCTCCACTCAGAATTTAATAGTACTAGTCTAATATTATGTTCTATCTACTATATAATATATACAGTTAAAGTTTATCTGGCAGTGTCTATAATTATTATTTTTCTGTCGCGGTCAGGTTAATAACTTATAATAGTTTATAATATTAAAGTTTACTCTTATAAAATTGTCTAGTATTTTCTATTTATTTGTATCAATTATTTCTTTAATATCATAATTTTTACAGGTTAAATATTATATTATATGTTTTAGATTTGAATAATACTTTGCTTAGAATCGTTTTTTCGTTAGTAACGGTATATCGTTGCGTCCAGTTATAAATTAAATTTTACTCTACATATTTTCTATTCTAACTTTCCAGTGGCGCACCCCTCAGCTATAGGTATCAGCTCTCTTTTTTTGGGTTTAGGTACGTTAGAAATTATTTTAATATGTACACCATATAGTATAAGATATCTTATTATGCAGTATATGTGCCTTTTATTATCTTATAACTGTGTTTCTGATGTGTCTTATGCGTTTCAAAAGTGTTTTGATTGTTTCAAGGGTTTTGCTCTTGCAGACGGCTGCAGTATTTGGGTTAATGCAATTTTCGAGATGATTTACTATATTATTATCCGCACACAAATTTACACACCAATTGCAAACACAGACTAATTTGAATCTTAGATTATGTTATAGAAATGATCCATAATATAATATAATGTATACATTTTAATACAGAGAGATATTATAACTAGAAATATTATTTACGTAGATAGTATTATAGTAGTATACTAAACTCAGTTAATCTTGCGGTAGATAGTATAATATTATTGTACCAGTATTATAAAAAATAATCCGCCACATATAATATGTATTAAAATCAAATAGTTTGTTTTTTTTTTTTATTATTGTTACTGATGGTATTCTCCATAACTATCTACTGTAGATTCGATTTACCTGAGGTTTTTGTATTTTGTAAAATTTAATTTTTGAAATGGAGTTTTGGGGTTTTTTTTTTTACAAAACGTTTATCTGCTAAAAACAAAAAAAAAAAAACTATAATTTATGTAAAATCGTACACCAACTTAACTCTAATTATTTAAATAATACGATACTGTAGAAAATAATTGAAAAATTTAATATCGATATGGGTTTTTGGCACCACTGTAATTATAATCACATCCCTTGTATCAGCCGTATAGAGTATAATCGGGAACTGACAACGTGTAGTTTTTCAATTGCACCCGTTATAATAATAATTTTAATAAATTTTTCAAAATAATGATCTTAAATAACAATATACCATAATACAATATTATATCAAATGTCGGGTAGTATAGATATGTAACGAATTTTGGAAACCGCGTTCGAATTAAAAAATACAATAACACAGGGTATTTTTTTTTTAACACGATCCAGCGATTAAATACAAAATCGAATATGGTTTTTTTCTGTCATTATTGAAATGATAGAAAAATGGTAGGATCGGGGGTTGAAAGTAGAAGCTCTAAAAGGCACTTATTTGATACTAACACTATGTATATACAAATATTTAGTTACCTGGCTTCATTTGGGGACTTGTGGTGATGATAAGATTAAAAAAATATATACTCTTTTCCCGCGAAAGTACGGTGAAATCTTACCCAACTATCATCGTTCCAATCCGCCTGTATAAAACAATTCCAATTCCCGAGTTTAAACTCATTCGGTCTAGAACAGTGGTTCCCAATTATGGGCCATCTAGAGAACTATTTCACTGACTATCTCGATTTGTCGATCACTTTTTTTTCTTATATTAATTTTTTTCTACTGTGAATTCCAATGACCTTCTAATTACAAATATCATAATAACATAACAATGATAAACAAGAAGTGATTATTGGCCGCCGAAAAAATAGTTTATTGCCCCGCCAGTGTTGAAGTTTTTTTTTATTTTCGAAAGGAACAAAATAGTTTCACACTATGGCAGGCATAGCATGTGGTAGGGGTTAGTAGAAAACCACTGGTCTACAACGAGCCGTTAAAGAGTACAAATGTAACAAAAGTTAGGACCCAGTGGCAGGCGCAGGTTGCGATATTCTCTAGACTTTCGAAAAGATTTCGACTGAAAACAGAAATCGAAATTCGGAAAAATCCCTTTGGTTCATGGCAAAATAAAATCACCACCCTGTATATATTAGGTACAAATTTGATTATAAAATATGGTGTTTTACCGACCGAGTTTCAGATTGGACGACAATATTATTGTACAATACTCATATTAATTCGATTTGGTCGCTGAGATGGGAAACGAGCGACGACGGCCATATGGGATTTTACTTCCGCGTTGAATATAACAACAGACGACGGGCGAAAATCGCGGCGGACTCATGTGTTGCGTTTTAATTGCGCGCGCCGCGCTCTTCCGCGAGCGATTAATAGACGCCCGAACACGAAAGCTGCAATATGCAAAATCTAATAACGCCCCGTCGCTATCAGAGAGCTAGAAAGAAAGAGAGAGAGAGAGAGAAAGAAAGAGAAAGAAGAAATATTTTACATATTATTTTATTATATCCGTCGAAAAAAAAAACGATTCGTGTTGTTCCGACGGACGTAACGTCATCGTTATTTTTAAATCCGTCGTCTCGTTCTGTTTAAAATCGATATTATTCCGCTCCATATCGTGTATTTTAACACATTGTGTTTCATACCATGCGACTTGGGCGCAAGAGGGAAACTTTTGGGATTATAATCTCTCTTCCGCAAGAAATACGCGCCGGATTTATCTTGATTACGATATTATCATTGTAGCGACCCAATTACGTATCTTTATTAAGAACCTGACCTATGCAACAAGCAATAGAAATGATTAAGAAAAAGTTCAAAGTGTAAAATATTTATGTATCGCACTGGTATTTTGTCCAGGGCCTTGACACACAGTGTACTTATCACACCCTAGACAAGTTCAGTCTACGCTAACCAAAGTTTTCGCCAAAACAAACCGACCAGAAATGTTCAGATATTTGATTTGATTTGATGAACCGAAATTTGTACTAAAATCGAATGGATCGAAATTCCATATAAATATGCGATGCAGTAATCAGAACCTATAAATTTATGATTTTATGGCAAAAGTCGATTGGTTCTATTTATAAAATACATACTATTTTTTTCGACTTTCGCTGACACCAGTTCATAATTTGCAATTTTAGTTCGGTTTTCGAATATATTGTCATAAATATTGTGTGTTTATAATAAACGTATAGAAGTAGTTTGGCAGAAAATAACAATTATTGTCGTGGACTTGTGCTCAATTTAAATCGACGAATTTTCTTAATCCGCGTGTTCCGTTTCGACGAAAATCTACACCGAGACCGTAAACCACTGGGAAAACCGTGAAACTCGTACGTATCCCAATTATTGTAAAAGGACTCAGCGATATAAATACTCACGCCGGATTGAATTAGGCTTACTATGACCGTCATGAATGGAGGACGGAGTTAAACGTTGTAAACCAACCAATTACCGGTCGAAAGAAAAAAATCTACTCACTTATGAAAAAATAAAAATAAATATACTGCGCGATAACTCGAAAATCGTATACCTAGAGCTAAAAATCACATCCGTAAACTAACGAGTTAACGTGCGATTTTCGTTCGCGTAAACCTCGGCAGTTTCCTTGAAAACTGCGTTTTAACTATTTTTCGAGCGTTATTATTTAATCAAAGAAAATAAAAAAATGGGTAAACGTTGTTTGGCTTTTCGAATTTTACTGGATTCCGCTGCTGTACGACTTTTCGTCCGTGTAGTCCATGAGATTATTATTGGCGCGCGTTACGATTGCAACCGTTTGCAACGGCTGTTGCAGCGTGTTGTTGTTGTTGTGCGCGCACCCGTTCTCGGCGGCCGCATCGCGGAAGACGACGCGGATGTTTATCGCGGACTGCGCACGTGCGCAACGGAAAAACCGTTGCGGTAGGTCAAGTAGCAGCAGCGGCCGCCGCCGTCGCCGTCAAACGTTTGGCCGCCTCGAGACCACGGCCGCCCGTCAGTCGTCCACGTGGTGGTGTACGCGCGCTACCGTTTGGCCGCACCGACGGCAATAACAATAATATCGTTATCGTCGGTACGTTACTCATCACTACCGCCGCGGCTTACTCTGCGGTAATCGCTCGACCATTTTTTTTCCCCTCGCGATTTTTCGCGTTCGATGTCACCGCCGACGGTCTTCAGTGTTACCGTAGCGATACGCCGCCGTCGATGAGCCGTCGCTATCGTTACCGATACCGAAACGCGTAGTCCGAAAAATGACGACAACGTCTTGTCCGTGCGAACGAAACTCTGCCGGTATGACGAGATCGCGATCGTGGCCGATGCTGTTCACCGTGCTGGAGGAGGACGCGGCCGTATGCTGCGGCGGCGGGACCGCCGTTACGGCTGTGGCCACGGTCGCGGCCGCGGCCACCGCCGTCGGACTGCGCCAGCCGCCCGCCGTCACGGACAACAGGGCCCGCCAGCAACTTCAGCACCCGCCGGCCGCCAACGTGGGCAGGCTGCTCCGACGACACTATTACCCGGAAGCGGGATGGGGCTGGGTGGTGGTCGCGTGCGCGTGCATGGTGCACCTTCTCAATCACGGGCTGCAACTGTCGTTCGGCGCTCTCGAAGCGGACGTGGTCCACAAGTTCCGGGACGCCACTTACGTCAGGACAGGTCAGATCTCTCGCAGCGTAATTATCGCTTTTTATTTTTTAAGCAGACATCTACGGGACAAAAGATCGCGAAAAAAAATTCACATGGAAATTTGAAAACAATCAAATGACAGACGAAAGGTGTTAGTATTAATGTAAAATTCTGCAAGAATTGGTTTATCATTAAAAAGAAATAAAATGTACTTTTCTTGAGCCAAGGTTGCTCTCCTTAAATAACAAAAATGATTTCTTCACGCCCCTGCGTCATATTTCAGTTTATTTCCTTCTAGAACGGAGCAAAGTTTTCCAAACCGCCAACTGAAAGATTACAGGGAATAGTTTAAAAACAACTTTTCCTCGCTATATATGTATGCTCGAATGGTTTTAAAAATCGAGTTAAAAACCCGAGTTTCGTGTTGTTAAATTACTTTTTTTTTACAATACCTTAACGCGCGATAATCGTGTAAACGTTAGTCGATTTGGCGAAACGAATTCGTTTTAAAATATTATTATCATCGTGTTGGTTCGTGGTGAAAAGTAATACAATTATATACAAAAAAAAAAAAACAAATACTATTTTTCAATCTAAAAGTATACGGATAGTTTTGTTCGGCGGAAACAAAGTTTGGCCACTTATAACTGCAATATTCGGATTTGATAACAATTATATAGATAAATATAGAAGATAATTGATGAGAATTTATCTAAATGAAGCTAAAAGATTAACAATTTTAATTCGTGTGGATAAAGATAAGACAAGTGTGTTTTTACCTAAATAAAAAAAAAATTGAATTTTGTTTATGTTAAAACGAAATGCTAAAACCAATTGGGCGAACGCGTGGATTACCTCAACTAAATTATGAAAAATTATAATTTGACATAGAAAATACTTAGACTTAGAACACAATTGACGCTGCGCGGACAATTTATTACTAACAGTTTCAATCATCAAATCCAATAAAATAATAACAATTTGATAAATGTTAAACTGACAAAATGTTTTCCACACTTTTCCAGAATAATACACTTATTTCGAATATTAGGTAGTAAAGACAGTATACGAAACATTTTCGCAGAGTGCGTGTACCCTGTACAATGAATAATAAAAATCGTCTTTAAAATCGAACAAGTACCGCCGTGTAAAATACCATTCTTCTGTTAATTAAAGTTCACTTACTAATATATTGTGAAACACTCAAAAGTATTATATTCGATCAGTCCGGTATTGTTTTGTTTTTTTTTCCAAAGTCAAAAAAATTAGCATATGTTCAAACGCGTTTCGTTAATTTGTTAAATTGTGTATTTTTTAACCGTCGTTAATTTCGTTATTTGTTTGATAATATCAAATATAAAATATTTGTCCACGAGCAGTTTCTTTCCGTTATTTTTCCGGCTCCATTATTCTACATTCTATTCTAAACACGATCTTCCCGTCTTTTAACTACGGTTTCTTCAAATGTTTTTGCCCATATCAAAATATGGTCTTCTTCAATAGTAGCTGCTAATATGCCATTATTTCGTATTTTGTTAAATTAATAAATTAAGTATACTCGTATTTTGTAGTGTTAATACAGGGTTTATATAACCAAACTAAAAAATATTTGTACATATTTTTGACTGAAAATGGTTTGAAAACAATAGAGTAGCCGAAATCCAGCAAATATTAAAAACTACGTTTTCTGTCTTCGATTACTAAAAATTTAGACAAATCGATTTCGCGATATTGCAACTAGGTACCCTTAGCAAACTGTTAACCGAAAATGCGTCCAATATTACGGGTTCGTCTGCGGTTTAGGTTCCGTACACAAACAACAGTGTTCATTTTTTAACGACAATAAGCTAATTGTATTTCTTTGATTATTGCCATAACGATATTCTACAACAATGCGTACTACTATTGCGTGTACCACACACATGTGTACAATGTAAGTACCTATACAAATATTATAATATTGAACTGTATTTCTGTGCCTACAAAATTATAATGTATAATTTACTCGATTGTTCTACTTTCACGATATTCACGATATAAATACGATATAATATTATAATATACTAGTGCTCTCCACAGTCCGTTATTTTTAGAGACCAGACCTGACCAACGACCGTTGTTGAACCAGTGGGCGCAACAGGGGAAGGGTGATGGTTGAATTTTCAACCCCCTTTCCCTCCCTCTAATATTCATATTTTCTTTAAGAAACCTACTTAATACGTATGGTTGAAAATTTTTTTTTTGTTATTACAGACATTTTCTTGTAACTTTGAACACGTATACGCCGTGCTATCCTTCGCCTACCTATTTAGTAATTTCTTATCTCAAAAACCTGTCCAGAAATTTGTAAATTCACAACTCACCACCCCGAAAACGTATATTAATTGCGCCAATGCAACTGCTAATTTTTTTTCCTCATACTGAACAGGCTGTACTTGTGATTGAATTTAATTTAATTGAACGGACCTTGAAAATTGTTTTTTCTGAATTTAAAATGTGTGATTATTTTATAAGTAGTTATATGTAAATATATGATACATACAGAAGAGTATTTTTACTATGGAGTATGGATCCTTTGAATGGATTTTTTTAAAATGTTTTTGCGTGTATCTCATTGAAAAATAACCCCTTAGTTAGATTCGTAGTAAATACCTACACAGTTATTTTATGTAAAACGTATAATAGGTCCTAGGAGCATAATTACGGGGGGAGAGGGGTATGGGAGAAGAACCTCCCCGTGAGCCTTATTTATATAGTATATTGTTATTTTATGCAAATTGAAAGTTCCAATGCAAATTTTCAAAACTATTATGAAATTAAAAATGTTTAACTGTATTGGTAAATACCAAAATATACATAGTTTATTATTATACTGGGTAAGCAATATTCACAATAGTTTATGTCAAAATAAATGGTAAATTTCACTTTAAGTTTTACATAGTACGCGCTCGAATGTCGAAAGACGTTGTGATTTAAAAAAAACACAGACGTGCCATTTACTAGAAAACTTCCGAGCCCTGGCGATGAGTTATTAAATGCTAAGAGAGGGGGGTTTGTGTGGGGCTAACCTCCCATGTGATTGTCCTGAAGATTCATTTTAATATCTCCTTCCTTAAAACATTCTCAATTAGGTTACTGATAGGTCCCTTTGCTCCCAATATAGACTCAACCAGAAAGTTACAATCGTGTATATGTAGAATAGAAAAGCATCCAACAAAAGTTGGTTGTATATTTCGCATGAGACAGACGATAGAAAAAAAATTATGAGTGACGAGCCCAATCCGAACTATTTCACTGACCCATGGTCCGGGCTGATAATGATATAGCCTAGATCACGCAGAGAACTGTAATGAAACAAAAATCAAATAAACGACGTGGGTCCTGGTCTTACGTCCACTACCTTATAGTAAATTATGGAATTGATTCATTTCTTACAACGATAAAGGAGATCAAGGGGATGAGTTTAATTAGTGCGTGAGTTACCTGTCTGGCGTACAGCTGTGTGCTCTTAGTAAGATCCTCATGTGATCAGGAAGACGGAAAAATCCACGTAGCGTATAATTTTGGCGATATCACTAGGTTTTTAATTAATTCAAGTTGAAACGGTTAAAAGAAAGAAACGAGACGGAGTTGACTTAAACATAACGACAATCGCACTTCGCTGGTGTCCATAGATGGATATGGTAGACTAAACGGGGTATTGATAGCATTTTGAAGTGGCATAGCTGTTGTTGTTTATTAATTTAAATACGATATAATAAATGGTATCTATAGTTGTCGGGGCACAGCCTATGGTTTGAGACTAATATATTAGGGTCTGATTATTATGACGTGGTGCTGTGATATATAATGCGTTTTTGTATGATCCAATAACGATATTGCCCATGACATTATCAATTACGGTGTCGTTAAATAATTGATGATTGCGCGCGTCAATACAGCACTATGACATAGTGCATTGAACACACGTGCGTTGAAAAACCCCCCAACAATAGTTCCTCTACACTACAGTAACATGCACGAATTTGTAAATATATTATATGTGCGCACACGTGTTCGTGAAAAAAAAAAAATAAAACCCCAACAAAAACAATAATTCTCTAGTACACTGGAAGATTCACGTACGAATTTGTATGTATGTTGTATAGATATACGGTTTAGAATATTATAATAATATAATAATATATATATATATATATATATTAAGTCGCTGGCTAATAATACAATATTTCTAAGCTCGTACATGCAGTACCGAAATAGAAATACACAATAAATAATAACATAATCGTTTATACTTTTATAATATATTATATTATATTATAGTAAAACGGGACGATATATAATATTTTATTGCGTTAGATGCGATTTAATCTGCAGTACAAAAACGTATCGTATACTCGTATACGATGTAATATATTGTGTAGCCGGGGATGGGCAGTATTCCGATTAGGTGTATTAGGTGTACTTATACAGTTATAATATTCGGAATACTATTCTAATAATTCTATACTAATTCTATTTTCTCTATACTGCTTTCTCTGTATATTTTAACGAATTTTAAGTATTTTGGACATTCACGAAATACACCAGGCAAAAAATATATTCAAACGTTCTATGAATAATAAGAAGCGTTTGTATCTGAAATAACCGCGGTAGCTATGAGAAGTCCGCAATTTGTCCGATTTCGGGTTATACAATTATATGTGTTAAATTTGAAGTCTCGGAAAGTGGTCACTGTGATTTACAGATGTACCTAATAAGTCTTAATTGAATTAGTGACATGATAAAAAGCGTACATAGGTATATCAATACAGTTTACTATAGTATCAAGTCAAAGTGATAAAAGGTTACAAGTTATGAGAGATAAATGCAAACGTCTCGAGAAATGTTTTGTCTCTTCTGTAAAGTACCTACCTAGCTGTTTTTGGTTTAAATTTCTCCTATTTCGCCTATTTCTCTTAAAAACCAACTGTGATAAAAATAAAAAACCAAACTTCAGAAATCTGAGAGTTTTTTCAAAAACCTATCGCCATAGGCATCTTCAAACTTCAGAATTACCGTCTTTATTGGTATTTCATTAATTTTAACTTTGTCGCACGGTTTCAATGATATAATGAAACGAGTAAATATCGAACATGAGATTCTATGACAATAAAAACACTTTGAATTTAATTTGTAATATATACTTAATTATTAGTGTATAGCGAAAAAAAAACAACGAAAATCGTATAGATATTTAGACAAAGTGCAGTAAACAACATTCTATTTACGTACGTTTTTTTCGCCGACCGTTGGTAAAATAATGTTAACCGTAGGTCGAAATTCTACCATATATTATTGCAATTATTGGTACACGGCGCGCGTAGAAATAATTTACATAAGCCTACTAACCGAAATTCATTCGTCTCGACCGTAATTTCCGAACCCGTATATACATTTCAATTAGTCGGTCTATAACAATATGCTAATATTTTGTATAAATTTGCGCGGGCACATTTGGAAAATCGCCGCAAACATAAAACTGCTACCAATGTTTTTGGCAGAGACAAATTCCGCGCAAAACAAATGCAGCCGGTTAATGCATAATTTGAACGGTAAAAAGCCAGGAACAACTAAACTTCGGCTCACAGGATAAGTAAACCGTTTCGCGCATGCGTACTGACGGCAGGTAGTCTTTCCGATTTTTAATGGGTATAATTATTGTACCCCATAGCCGCAGATTCTATGCTAACCATGGGCTATTCAGGAGCCACGGAGGTCCGGGGGAATCCGGAGCGGTAAGTCGGCTGGTTCGGCGGCGTGTTGCCTAAGGACCACAAGCACCGTGGAATCCCGAAACTACGGAGCCCCGCTACCAGTGGATGAGGGCCGAGTGCAGTCAATCACCCGTCACTGGTTGGACCGCATCCTATATCATTGATTTCCGTTTTTTGTCACGAAAAGCCATCGATGTGATTCAAGCCCACCGAGAAACGGAATAAGCAACAGGGAGATACCTCAGTCTACGGCCGTGGCCGCTTGTGAGACCATTCGACCCAGAACTGTCCTCGTACTAGCCCACAACCATAAAGTCACTCCTGTAGACTGACGGCAGACGTACTGTTTCCCCCACTTTGTTCCATTTAGTTACGCGGTGTGACGTGTAATTGGACGCGTTTTAGTCGGTTAACACGGTTTACTTCTCTCGTAGGCCGGAGTATACAGTTAAATACCGCATAATCCTAAAATGCCGAAATTCAAAATTCAAAAAGGCCAAGATCTCGGTGCATTGTAGCTACTGTTATCGAACTCTAAGTATATACTCTATTTATAAATATATTAAATAAGCGTGCTCACCCCGTATTTTTGGTTAAATTTTGCATGTATTCAAATTCTGATTTTTGACATTTTTAAGTGTAGTTAAAGCCAATATTTTCGAAAACTTAGATTTTTTTTATCAAATTTAAGGAGTATCCTGCGGTGATGCCAATTTCGGTTTTTCAAATGAGAACATAAACTAAAAATGTCATAAATAAATGGAGTATTACTTTGAATAAATGTTGATTTTATAATTTTTGATTCCTGTCACCCCGTTGGCGATATATTTCAATTTTAAGTTTAGGAGAATAGGGGAAAATAGTGGAGTACCAATAAAACGCATCGCGCTGTGCCGCCATACAAATGATACTCCACTACTCTCCCCTACCTAAATTTAAAAGTGAAATATCTCGTCAACGGACTGAAAAAATCAAAAATTTTAACAACTATATTTATTTAAAGTAATACTCTGTCTATTTGTGAATTTTTAAATATAAGTTCTCATTTGAAAAACCATAGTTGGCATCACCATAGGATACTTCTTAAATGTTTTGAAAAATCTAAGCATTCGAAAATATCGGCTTTAACTACACAGTACATTTAAAAGTTCTAAAAATCAGAATTTGAATGTATACAAAATTTAACCAAAAATACGGAGTAAGCACGCTTAGTGAATCACTCTGTATATACTCATATAAATTATATAAACTTTAAAAAATATGAAAAAAATTAAAGTGCTCAAAAAGGCAAGTCCACTTTTTTTTTCAAAAATTACTTTTTGATAGTTTTTAATAAAGCAATAAATACTACATAATTTAGTGTAAGTTCGTCTACTAGATACGGAGAATATATTGATATGGACCTGTCTGGTTCAACCAAATTCTGAACAAAAATATGACAAGTTCTATATTTATCCATATATTTATGGTGTTTGTAATGTTCTTGTTGAATTGAGCTCTTCAAATGCAATTGTCTATGTTAAATGTCTAAGCTATAACCATTATTTTTTCATAAAAGTACCTCGAATTTTATGGCTATTTTGGTATAGGATGATCTTTATTTTGGTGAAGGATAAATTTATTTTAATACTGCTTTTCTAAATAATAATTTTTATATAGGTGTCTGACAAGAGATTTTTTATTTTTCCGTGAATATTTATGACAAACTGTTTAATATATATTTACTCACATTATAAAATAATATTTTGATAGCATATTAGAATAATAAGTATAACGTGATTAAATATACTTGAATCAACACAAATTAGATTTAAATTTCAAAATATCAAACTTTCAGGTCGTAATAATAGACGTCAAGTGTTATTTTTGCAGATTTGTATTTTATTCTCATAATCGTTTGATACATAAAAAGATCAGATCCGTCTGTATGTTTCGGTTTTTTTGATTTATATTTAGGACCTAAATTGTGGCGTTCAATTGAAATTTGTGTTTGTTTATTTTTACAGGCTAGGTGCCCAATAGAACTGTAAGTGACACGATATAAAAGTACATTGAATTATGACAATATATAGAAATAATAAAGCATAGTAAAATAATAATAAAACATTATCAATAGTGGCAGACAAAATAATATTAAAAACTGGTGGCGGTAATTAACCGAAAAACCAATATTATAGAAATAAAGAGAAGCTTAGGTGCTCATTAGCTAGATTCATCATACAATGGATGTGATTATTTTCACCATAGTTGGTATGGTGAAAAGGAACAGAAAAAGAATAGCATCTAATTCTCCAATCGGAGAAAAATATATTGGAGTTAAAACTAGAATAACAAAATTTAAAGAGAAAAATATTCCGAGAATTGTACGTAGATTTTTTCTTAATAAATTGTCGTGTAAAAAAGTTAAAATTATTATTGTTAGTTTTTATATTTTGAAATAGTATTCTATTAATATAATTCTTTAAATCTTGTTATTTGTGATTAAACTCCGATTTCAATCGGTATGACGGAAACAGCGCATACGTATAACACATACTGTAAACTCTAAAGGGTCGATATTGACGATTCGAGTGAACTCGAATAATAACGTTGGTTCG